CGCATCTTAACAGCCATTATCAGTTGCTATCGCTTCCAACCATGTACCACCAATGTCCCGGGACCACCCCACATAACACTTGTAAGTATAGACGCTCTAGTACCAATATGAACGACAAAACGAAATTGGCGATGCTCGCTTTCTAGCCCCTCTTATCAGCTATTATCAGTCGTTATCAGTTCCTATCACGTACCACTTGTGTCCCCATCCCACCCCCTATAACATATGTAAGAACCACTGCGCTATCGTTACTGTGACTCGAGCTATGAATTTCCGGTCAAACACACACACACACCAACAGACACACGCTAGCCGCTTATATATAGTAGGACCCTTATGAGAACACTAATCATCACGACCGAGAATACCCATTTAAGCTTTCGAATTCACGAAACAAGGGCGCTACTTGACAGTGCTGCACGGAGTCCATTCCTCGCATTGTTTTTTTTTTGCTTTTTCCTTAAAGGTCATTTTCTGCTGTCAGTTGTATACAGTTCGGGCTATTTTTGACTAATCCGCTAACAGCGCCCGCACGCCCATGCAAATAGCTTTTGTGCCGAGCAGTTGTGATATTCAAGTTCAGGTCATTTATTTTATCATATGTGGCTGCAAGACTGTCACTGCCATCTGCCTTCACTCCCAAAGGTGTTCTTTTCTCGTCTTCTCGCGCTGAAAATATCTTTGGCACAAACATGCAGGATTGGTACCTTGCTCGGATCTTTTTCAAAGCACATGGGAAGCCCTTCCTTCGGATCAGCACATTAACACATAACGGACGAGAGCACTTCTGTATGAGCAAGTCTGTGGGCCGGACCGCTTTTTCCTACCTTCCGCTCAGGTACAAGACAAAGGTACAAGTCAATAAGTCAATGGCACCGGAAAGTCACGCTTCTTCGCCTGGATCCTCTCAACTAGAAAAGATTTAGTTGTTGGCATCCCCGGGACCTTTCATCCTGATACGCATCTCTGGTAAAAAAAAACTCCGCACTAGAAGGCTTTTGGCTTTTGCTCATATTTCCTTTTCTTCTTTATCTTCTCTTAGTGTTTGCTGTTCATTTTTCCATCACAATGGCAAGTAAAGCTCCACGAGTATGTATTTGGTCAATAGCTGGATTTTTCTATTATTATTTTTTTCTGTCTGCTTTGTGCTCAAGAATGTTCTAGTAGGTATTCGTGCCGATTCTAGTATTAATATTTCCTGGACATTTTTTCGTTATGTCCTTTCGTTCTTTTTCATTTTTGATCAAGAGATGTAAGTTTAGCGACACGAATCCTGTATCGATCCTGGGAACGTGTGTCATTCTCCAAGGTTGTGAGCGTACGATGGTATACTCAGATTACTTGAAATGTTACAAAAAAGAGAAGATGATATTTTAGAAAGCGTGTGGCACCATGTAGGGCTCGCTTGGCGCCACATCGCCACACAAAACGGACTACGACATTTGGCGTGTGCCGAATGATGGCGCGGGTAGCCCGTTATGTGCTAAAAGGCCTGAGCTGGTAGAATGAAATCGGAAATTCTCCATCATTTTCAAATTCCCGGAGAAACACTGTTGGAAACGTCGCCTAGAAAATTCATGCTTTCCGACATCGCTTCGAAAGCATCGCAATTGTGTCTCAAACTTCCATGGTACTCTCGCGTTCGGCATACTTCTGGGATCTCCATCACAAAGGAGAACGTAGCATGAGATGAGAATTCTCTTCATTTATGTCATGCAGTCATAATAGTGGTTTTTGAACTGAAGCTTTTATAAAAATGGCCTTCTGATCATTGCGATTCCTCTCGAATTTTGGAAATATTTTGCAATTACGTTAATTATTGGAAAAAGGCTGTGGCGTGGGGAAGGACGTCCTATTCGTCATTAAGTTTTTGATTAAGAGGAGGAACCAGGTCAAATTGATGTTGTTATTCCACCCAAATATGAAAGTTGGGGTGCAGTGTGCTCTGCAAGTAAAGAAAAAAGAAAAGGATTCATCAAAAACACAGGAAATACGAGCCTTCTTTGCTCAATACTGTGGATAAGTCTGAGGAGCAGGCAGAGAGAGAGCGATAATGTGAGTAGAAGAAAATGTGAGAG